TGGATCCACTTCTACTGGCGAACCAGGGTACAGACTTATCTCTGCCATCTCCTAAACACATTTGTTCATTTGAATTGAGAAACAACATTTAAGATGGAAATAAATCAGACCGAGCTCTGCTCTTCGACTACAGGCTCGAATTCAAGAAATAAGGTCATACGGTATGTGACCGCCTGTCTGCCGCGATGATTCAGCTCCAGAATTATGAAAACTATGATGCTCGTATTCAGGAGCAACCTCACTGGCTATGTACGGATATCTGAATGTAAAATCAACTGTTACTGGAAATAGGGAGAGGAAGAAACTTCGACCATAATGAGCGCCGTTCGGTTTACAGAAATGCATAATAAGAAGCGTAATTTCTAAAAAAAAATACCTGTTTCGACGATAAGAATGGGAACTTCCACGCCTTGGTTATTATTGGAATGTTGCAAAAAACAGCTGCTAGATAAAACAGCAGCAGCTGCTGCATTGTGCTCGCTGAATTTTTCGCTCTGTAAAATTTGTTTCGTTGAAAAGACGATGTAAAAAGCTATCTGTTCGTATGTGCGTGTATGTGTGCGCGTTTGCATGGAATTCGTCCAACGCCGCAAATTCAAAGTGATTTTTTTTTTAAAGTTAAGTTAGCAAAATCACTGGAATTACTTCATTCTATCCGAGGGTACACTGGAGCATAAAACGCAATAATACCGGTGCTACAAGCTGCCCACGGCTTTACTCTGGATGCTTCTGCTAAGTAGAGCTCTCCCAATGAAGCTCAAAATAGTCCCTTTGTCAAATTCATCTCTTTGGGATCTTTAGTTCCTGAAAAGGTTAGCTCCTTTTAACCTGGATCACAACCCGGCAGTAATAGTATTGTTATCTACTCAGCAAAACAGTTTGTTTATGCATTTCATGGATTATAAACTCAATAATGTCAGTAATGAGTTTTTATGCAAATCCGTCAAAGGCGATAAAAACATAGGAAACTGATGTAACTGAGTGTTCTTAAAAGTAACTTTTGCGGGGACATTAGGCATGAAGATTACGGAAAATTTAGTTTTAGCTTGATTATTAGCGTAAAAAGTGAAAATAAATCTCGTATCTTTTGCCCTGCACGAGAAACTAAACCATTAAGGAGCTTCGGTAAGCTTATGGAAAAATTAATTCGTCTGCTATAACTTCGTAGCAGAGCTAAAATACTAGCAGTTTAGTATATGTGGTACAGTGCTGTTTGTGAAAAATTCATCTTTTTTTCTGATGAAATCTCTTCGGCTCAATATACATCTGCAAAAGCAAGCGCAAAAACAAATCGCAGGCTTTTTTAGTGTGCGCTGCAACTTATTTCAGGCGGTTTTTTCAAGGGGAGAGTGGGGAAGGAGAGAAAGGGAAAAGAGAAGTAAACGATGAGCCACACATAGGCAATTGTGGAACAGTTGAGAAAATAAATTTTTATATCAAAGCTGTGAAAATCTGGAGCTCCAGAGTATCCGACGAATAATTTGGAAATTCTTCGTTCTAGACGAACAGATGCGCTGCACCTTTTCCGGCATATTTGGCTTACAGACACCTTCCGATCCCACAGCTTTTTTTTTCTGACCAGAACGCGTAAATGCGAAAACATTTGTTCAAGCATCAAAAAACCATCCTGTGCAAAGTTGAAAATGAGCGAACCCAAATTCCCATCTGGCCAAACCAGAGAGCAGATAAAATTGGCAGCCATTTCAAAAATCTTTACTAAGTGCAGTTAAAACTTATGCTTTTTGAAAGTCTGTCTGGCTCATGGCTCAATTAATTAGAATTTTAAAGCATAAAAAAAATGAAGAAAACTGTTAGTTAGGAAGGAGATACAAGATAGCAGTCCTTCTGAAAGCTGAAAGAGAGCACCAAGTTTATTGTGGATGTAAATAAACTGCTGGTAGATTTGAGCCACAGACTGACGATTCTAACTGTAGCACCCTTTACCCACTGCATGAAGTCGAAATTACGCATTTGGCTCATGAATCCAAACTGCTAATTTTGAGCAGTAAGTTGACCCAGCGTATAATGCAGAGGCTTTCTGGTACAATTATGGGTTTTTGTACTAAATTGACAGCAGTTAAACCGTTAAAGCATGTTTTCTGTGTGACGATTTAACACGTGGGCTCGTGTTGGCTACGTTTTGGCATTTTCTTACATGCAGGGGAAATGGAGTCAGTCAGGATGGCAGTGTTTCATCGTAAGGCCGCATCAACCTCCATCGTGTACGATTATTGCACGAAAACTAGTCGTTTTGCTGACGAACGGTCTTCATTGAAAAATACGATTTTGGCAGGGCACTGAATGTCGGGACAGAGGGGTTACGAAATCCGCAAACCGCACTCACTTTTGAGACTGCGAGTATTTCTACAAATATC